TCTTCAGATAGATATATAGTTACCATGTCATATTAAAGCGCCTTAAATTATTACGATTGCTGCTTAACCAGGTATTGCTTGTTTACAAAATGTGAGGAAGATCTTGTTGTGCCAAAAATCTTATAATACAATGCGGACAGCTTACCAAATGCAAATTGGATGTATATATTAGAAACGAATAGACGGAAAACATTTATTCTTTATTTGATTAAATATCACGTCCATTTATCTAAGTTCAGCAGTTTATTACAAATCCTAAAATAAAGAGGATATTGTTCTTAGGTCGTTACTATATAAATACCAGGTAATATTCCCTTAAGTTACCCATCAGTCTTCCTTTACAACATCCCAGGAGACTGCTTACAAAAGCGAATTAAGGCATCACGCCCAAACTACCTAGCCGTAAAAAATAAAGCTCAAATACACAACAAATAAAAAAACGAATAACTTTGAATAAGCTGCACCCTTGTTAACCTTATGGATTAAAAGGTTACATGTTAACCAATAATCTTCTGCAAATACTTTCCCATATACTAGTAAAAATGTTTGTGTTCTCCAACCATTTTTCAGCGTAATATTGAGAAGCTATAATAGCTGTTACTCATAGATCATCCATGAGATCCATAAGAGACGTGCCGTTAACCAATTTAAGACGGCCGACCTTTAAGATGGAATGCTCCCGGTGACAGACGCCCCGTCTCGTTGTCTAGCCGACCAGATGTATGAACGTCTAACAATAAAATAAACGATGAACTTTATAGTTCAGATATACTTAGTATAAATAGGAAGTCCATCTACCATCGAAAAACAAGTGATTTAGTAAATTTTTCAAACTAGACATACAAGTAACGCGATGACTTGATCACTCCTTGTGCCGAAATGTACGAATTGAATGCCACCTTTCTCTTCAAAATCTTTTAAGTCCATAAGTCTACCGGCGGTCACAAAAGAAAGGAATCTCATGTCGGACAAACATGTAGCGACTTTGTAAAGACATAAATCCAATAAAATATATCTACAAAGCCAAATAAAATCCCGATAACATTCCTTTGTAAATCAAGCAACGCCATCTTAGGAGTAATTTCACCTGTCTATGAAAGTAAAGAAGAAATTCGTTTTTCTTTGTATCTAGAAGAAAATATTGTTGCCAATAAAATCGATTTATAAGTGTCGGCATTCTGCGACTGGCACAATGCTGGTATTGGGAAAACAAAACGAGACCGCGCTGAATAAAATATAAGTGGCCTAGCACAATAGTCGCGAAAGCGAACCGAATACGAAGCGATAAGAACTGAACAAGTGACTGAGAAGTGACAACATGAAACTGACATAGATTTGGTTTATGTTCTTACGGTGAAGAAGAAAAATATGTTTTATGTCACCAATTCCGTTCTTTTTTGACAATATTAGTGAGAATCATTTGGCGCGAATGACGTGCTTTCGTTACAAACTCAAGTGTCAGAATGAATAGTGAGGGGACGCAAACGTCGACATTTTAGTAAGGCTAGTGTTGGGTCAATACACTGCCACGTTTTCGAATTTCCTTCCTAGCAGTACTGAGCTAGACTAGGATCTAGTCACTTCTAACTTGAGAGTAAGATCCTCTATAAATTAATAACGATATGTTTATCTCTTGAATCTAATATTGAGCATACAGCATTTTTTTTCGCTTTTCGTATCTTTTATATTACAGATGTTCGCTTCGCTTTGGTTACGTTTCACTTTTGTCTCTGTGTGCTACAGGCGTTAGTTTGATATCTGGAACTAAAGTTTGTATGAAGCGTGTTTAGTTTGATTTATTGGCTCTGCGTGCTCGCGACTCGACTTGGGCCGAATGGAGTTGTTAGTTCGTCACTCAGATGATTAATATCATACGATACTTCAGTTATGTCACATCATATCCCACGTAAGATTAATAATTCAGTATATATCGTAAATACTTATTTATAGGAATATTACGAAAATTATAGAATACTAACTGTCGCCCGCGACTCCTTCCACTTACACGCGGAATTTGAAAAAATTGTAGCTTATGTGTTCCTCCATACTACGTTCTATATGTATGCCAAATTTCATCGAGATCTGTCCAGCTGTTCTGGAGATACCTTTAAACAAACATCCATCCATCCATCCAATATAGTAAGATTTTCCATAAGGACAATAATATAGGCTTTGAATTTTCTGTGGTATAAAGTTGCTGCTTTAACCAAATGTCCTATATAATATGTTACTCGCAAATTTATTAAACTTTTTAGAACAAAAATGACTCACATTTAAATAATAATCAGTCTAGTCTTTTTTCCTGTCATAAAGGTATATTGTTTGGCGGTAAAAAGAAGGTATTGTCGAACTAAAAAATCGACATAAATGTGCTTACACCGTACGGAAGGAAAAGATAATGGGGTACTTACGACAATCGATTTGTGGGGACAAACGGCGGTGCTATTGCCTCCAGGCGTTTACGTCTTCTTCCACTATTTCTTGAACAAAACACTATTACAGTGAAAGCGTCGAGGGTATTATTACGTCAGCTTGTGAAAAAGCTTTTGTTAAGCTTGATTTTCAATCGTGACTCGAATCTTAAGCTTTGTTCTATTTAATACCTAATTATTTTCCAATAACATTTCCTACTGTATTGACAAATAATAGGTCCAAACTATCGCGATGAGGATTTCGGACTGTAAATGCTGTGCAAAAGCACATTAGAAAGTGTTAAGTTTTAAATTACTTCAACCTTCGTTAGTATTTATTACGTTTTTTCTCAGATAGCGATTTAATATATAAATTATCCTATTTAGGCTACGGCATCTATTTCTTACTCTACATTCTCCTAAAAAAAACACAAAGTTTGATCTGACACTTCTTTATGGGTACTTTCCTCACAAGTCAACACAGATGTTATTTCATTGGCTTACGAGAAAATGTTGAATCATATCTTTACAGGGTGCTTAAGAAGTTATTGCTTATTTATGCGAGCTCTTTGCGAAGAGATTATGCATTTTATGACTTTATTTTTTAAGAATTACGTAACCATGGCAACGCGTAAGGGTAAATAAAAATTATTAAATAAAATACATATACATATCTCACTAATATTATAAATGCGAATGTTTAGATGGATGGATGTTTGCATGAAGGTATCACAAAAACGGCTGAACGGATCTCATTGAAATTTGGCATATCTGGAGAACATAGTATGGATGAACATATAAGCTACTTATGTTTTTTATTAATCCCGCGCGGACGAAGTCGCAGGCGACAAATAGTACTTAATAAACATGTAATAATCCCTTTAATAAATAGAATCCATTTTTCATATTACATATAAGAATAAATAATAATGGTATATGACGATAGTTCACAAACTGATACGACATTATGTCTAACAAGCGCAACGATGTGGGAATCTTGCTGATAGTTGGGGTTAACCGCGACTAAGAGATAAATATGAAACAGTTCGCAAGTGTAAACTTAAACATATAAGCACTCAATTCTCTGTAATCCTCAAAACTTTGTAGGCACGGTCTGTCTCGTTAATTAAACTGAAACGCTGATAAATTACAAAATGAAACAACTACTGAATGTCGAAATGTTGACCTCTGACCTATGGATACTGTTGCCGCACCGATGTATATTCTCATTTATTTTTTGCAAAGAGGCATAGGTATCAGATGTGTTGTATTAATTTAATTCAGAAAATCCATATTTACTTTAATAATTACTATCCATATTATAAGTCGAATTGGAGATTACAATGCGCATAGTTTGTGTTAACTTATAGATAGGTTTAAAGATATATAGATCCGATATCTGTATCTAAGTTAATTAAACTAAAAGACTAGTCATCTTTTTTGTAGAAATATGTATAACTGTATAAATAAGAATTTGAACCTCAGTAAACACGATATAGTTCATAAAACACGCAAATATAAACACCAAGGCGGCGTGTCGTGTTATTACCGAATTTATTTGGCGAGAGATTGCAAATCCTCGTATTTGTTTTACGTTCGTGTTTATATAAATGGAGAAAAATATGACTGATATTTTGCTATTACATTTTGATTCGATATTTTATAGTCAAATTGCTAAGTTGTCCGTTGCTTACATTATTATATTTACATTTCTTATTATTGAATGTATATGTACATACACTTATAATATAATAGTAGGTTGTTGGTAGGTAATAACTAGATTAATTGAATTTTAGTTTATGTTAAAATATTCTGGGCGAAGTACACAACAATAAACGGCGTTCTTAAAAAAATAAATGATAAAAAAGTGAAATCTTATTGATGTTTGGTGTTCTAGAAAAAATAAATTTCTTTCGCACATCATAATTGTTTAGGTAAACCCAGATTTTTAACTGCACTGAAGCAAAAACTGTTCTGAATTTGTAATTTAGGAAGGAGGTTAAGCGCCTTTCAGTTTTCTACGATATTTCAATAAAGTACAACAAACAAACCATTTCCTTTCCATCTCATAAACTTCTTTGTTTCATTCTGTAGATTAAAATTTTTAATATCTGTAAATTTTGTTGCGATTCGATTATTTCATTATTACAAATAACCTCATACCGAGTTGTACGTAAATCACTAAAATAAAAGAAGATATTTACGAATAATGAATGGAAAGTTTGTTCTCTTTTATCAATATTTCGAGCGATGGACGATGGAGCCGTCGTCCGGGCGTCAGTTGTTTTAATTACTGGTTGTAAAAACTGTATTTAAAGCACTAAATCGCTCGGCTTCCTTCAAGTAAATGAGCGCCGCATTCTTCGTTGCAGGCTCCGCTACAAAGCGTTCTTTTCATCTCGCCAAAAGTGCTTTAAGTTTTATTTTCCTTTAGGGTTTTGTCTCAGGGCTAACATCTGCAACTTTGGTATTTAGGCCAAGATATAATTGTCTGTATTCAAGTACCATGTACACGACACATATATTAACGTTATCATCATCTCTTAATAATGCAATCGAATACTAAACTAGATGATTATTTTGTTTCAGATTCACCAACATTCCAACATGGAGCAGACATTCGACATCTTGAAGAAGCGCTCCAAACATCCCGTTCTACTCCAATCGGATTCTTACGTGTATAGTTGAAAATCGGAAATGATTAATCGTAGAATAGACGTTACGTTTCAAAGTGATATTATGAGCTTATATGTTAAGTGAGAGAGAAAGGGAGATGCCTTACTACGGGTATAGGGAAGAAGGGCCAGGTTCGGAATCAAGTGGGGGTTGTTCTGATTCAGAGGGGGGGAATTCTGACTCAGAGGGTGGATTAAGTACGGAGAGCTCGTCAGGCCAAGGGTTACCATTCCCCGGGTTCACGCCTGTCGCTCTGCGGTACTTGACACAGGAGACGAGGCCAAGAAGTTGGTGCCTGAAGCTCATCACCAATCCATATCCTTTTTAATAGTTCGTCTTAGTTCCGTAGTTGGTTTCTGAGATGAAAATCTGTATCTATATATATATGTATGTATATATCATCCTTTGCCAAAACAGTGATAATAATATGTGTTAAATGGATATTACGGTCTCAGAAACCCACGGTTAGAGAGCTACTTAAACGATTAGTACTTCATACAGTATAAATAACATTTTTTCCAGACTCTCTACATGCTTACGGAAATTCAAAAATGAGTGTAGTTAAAATATGAATTATTGACCTTGACCTTTGACAGGTAGCGAGTAATTGTTTATATATGTCAAGAGACCTCAGTTGACATATTCGAATACATTATTAAATCTTTTTTTTGTACTCCAGTATCTGTATTCAGAGTTAACAATGGCTTTAATTACACAAGCTTTTATAATATTCTGTTACAAGTCAGGTAATAATTGTAGCGTCTAAAGTAAATGTCAAAAGTCTTCTTCTAGCTCTACAGCCCTTTGTGGGCCTTGGCTTGGTCCATCAACTTTTTCCACCTCGGTCTATCTCTGCCCACGGATTTCCAATTTCCTATGGCAAAAAATGTGAAAAGTATCTTCATTTGTTTTTTTAGTATTTATCAATAATTCAATAGGAACAAATAGATTTTATTATTATAAGTAATTCTATATATTAAATACATCTTTCGAAAACGTCCTTCATTATTCAAAAATACAGAGTGTTATAAAAATAAATCTTTAAATATTCTAATCGAGAATTATTAAACTTCGAGATTAATTAAACTTCTTCTATGTATCCAGGGTCGTATTAATATTAAATTTATTAGAAAAAAAATGAAACCTACCAAAAAGTAACGGTAATAATAGCGTAACTACGCTTTCGTTCGACTCGTACTCGTATATTCATCAAATCGACGCCTGGTTACCGTCAAATCTGTTGTTTGTTTGTAATAAAATAGTATAAAGAGCTGAAACATAACTAACCGCATTTAATTCAAGGACTGATTAGTTAATTAAAATTAGGTTACCTTTTATAGTGAAGTGTCTAGTTTGCTGTCATCTTCTATCAAACGCTACTGCAGTTTTAATGGCTTAACCCAGCAAGAGATGTAATACCAAAGTCAAAGTATTGTTAAAATTCTAAATAATAAAATTACATTAAACAAAGTGTTTTAGAAAAAGCATAAACACTTTCTGTATTATTCTAAAAAATAAAGTTAGACACTGTTTAGTTAAACACGTTTTTTAACCTTTAACCGACGCTCTGGAGGTCAAGGTGATTGTAAAAATGAGACCCACCTGCAAGCAAAACCTTTCGATCAAAAAAAATTATCAAAATCGGAGCGCCAGGGGCGGAGTTACACGGTAACACAAAAAAAAAGAACATGCAGACGAATTAATTTTCTCCTCCTTTTTGAAGTCGGCTAAAAAAGTATAATATGTTTTACCCTTAAATATAATATGTATCACCTTGGTATTTACCATTTGTCACGCTCATATTTGGAAAGCCTACGCATAATCATAGTTCCTGCTAATGTCTAATATCAGAGCATTAAAAGGGTTGACATATGTTTGCTTAAGCTAAAATGTAAATGAAACACTGCTCAAGTGTTTTATGGTAAGGCTATTTCTACATTTTTAGGACACGAATGTTCACTGGCGACGTCAAGACATCATACTAAATTTTAGTAAAATATGGTCAGTGCTAGAGCTTCGGTGGCTCAGGGGTTAAGCACTTGACTTGCAATCTGTAGGTCCTGAGTTCGAATCCCGCCATGTATCAATGTGTTTTGAGATTTTCGTTTTACATATGTACATTTATCCGACGTTCTTACGGTGAAGGAAAACATCGTGATGCAACCTGCACATATCTGAGAAGAAATTCAAAGATATGCGTGAAGTTAACCACCCCCCCTTGGCCAGTGTGGTTGACAATGGTCTAATCACCCTTAACTCAGGGTAGGCTCCGAGCCCCTCAGTGGGGACGAATAGTGAGCTGATGATGATGATGTTCAGTGTTAGTAGAACTTTAATTCGACTATTTTAAGTGGAATGATGTGGTTCAGTTAAAGTGTTGTAAATTAAAGTCTGATACTAACAAAGATAATTCTTCTATTAGTCGTAGTTGAATGTTGAAGATGATTGTTTAAACCACCAATAAGATTAAATCTAATTATAGTCGACCCCCAAAACCGAACATTACGCGAACATCGTAAAATTATCTGACTTCCGCAGTTCTCGGTACCGCATGCGGTTTTATTAGTATTGCAATTAATCTATTTATATACGTATAAAAATTATATTTCATCAAAATATTTGTTAATTCAAGACGCAATTTTTTTATAACCACAAACAGTGGCAGTAAGATTTTTCACTAAACATTCTTATTGATATTAATAATTATTTAATAACAGGATGATTTATAAAACAAAAATTAAATTTAGAATAACAACCTTAACTGCATTTTTTCAATGAGTAAGGTCATGGTCATTTGTTATAGTAAATACGGAGTTTAACCGTAGGTTAACCGCAGTTTAAATAAAGGTTATTAGCGGTCCATTTCTAGAGCGTATCGCGTCTACTTGGTTGAGCGTGTAACCATCCCTTCAGGCAATTTTCCAGCGATATAGCGTAAAAAGAGCTATTCCACAGTTTGAGAGCTTCTATTTATGGAGATGATCTTGTATAGGTCGTAGTGTAACCTTCTGTTTATATTTTAAAAATATACGTTACATTTTTTTTACATTTTTATGCTATGTTTTTTTATATACAGAGTGTCTAGTTTTTAAAGGACAGCAACAGATAAAAAAATGCACATTTCATATTTCATTAAATATCTTATATTTTTTTACAATTACGCATTTCTTGACGGTTTCCTAGAACTATCTCTTTTAATAGAGCTTGCTTGTTAGAAAATTTATCAAACTTTTACTTGGAAACGATCACCGATTCGCAAATGTTAAGGCAGGCGGCCTCTTGATAGTAATTTCTATATTTAGAACATTTGTCTTAGTATGTATCCAGGCACAGTATTGTAAACTTATTTTATAGTAAGAAGTGAACGGCTTGATCAACATTTCGATATGATTTTGCATTAACTTTGCGGTAATTTGAGTTTCTTTGGCCAGGAATGTACAGGCGTTCTTTTTCCAGATTAAAATTTTGTACCTACAGATGAAACATATTGATTCAATTTATAAAGACACTAGCTGGCGAAATTAAAAAAAAAACTTATTTAGTAGCCATGTGTTCTTCAAGACTGTGTTCTACATCTATGCCAAATTTCATCGAGATCTGTCGAACTGTTCTGCATTTACCTTTTAACAAACATCCAGCCCTACACCCAAACATTTGCATTTATAATATTAGTAAGATGTACTAATATTTTGCATATCAAAGAATATTCTTTTACGACACTATTTCACTACAAAGCGTGTACTTTGACAGCTCTTAAATATTCATGCTATTCATGAACAATGACAACGAAGCTAACATTTATTTTCAGTTCCGTAGTCAGCGTAGTTATTATAGTACACGTTGAAGAACTGATTTACATTCTTTTTTATTTTTACACGTCTGTTTTTGGTCTATAAAATTGTCCATAATAAATAAACAAAGATACCATTGGCTCATTTCCAACGTAAAACTCTCAACAATGTTGAACTCACAGATACACCGCATCGATGATGTAACTAACAATACCTTTGAAACTTTCCATACGAGGTACGAAACTTTTGTCGTGAACTGTACACTACGAGTTATTTTAATCTAATATTATAAATGAGAATGTTTAGATGTATGTATGGATGGATAAATGGATAGATGTTTGTTAGGAGGTATCTCCAAAACGACTGCATTGATTTTGATGCAATTTGGCACAGATGTAGAACATGGGCTGGAATAACACATAGGGTACTAATATACATTATTTCATTTCCGCGCGGACGAAGTCGCGTGCAACAGCTAACTGTCTATTCTCCATACATATTAAAAAATACGGATCATCCTTTGTGACCGCCAAGATTCTTAATGTGTAATGATAATTAAATTATGAAATGAACACAAAACAATTTTAGTAAATTAGTGTGTTCTTATTTTATTTCCAAATCTTATCGAATTATGGACCACAAAACTAATGGAAATTAACAGGATGTCCTCAAATAATTAGCAATTAAATAAAAAGTGCAGATAACCATTATAAAGATGCTCCATTTAATCTTTTATAATACTCTGAAATCTAAATCGTTTGCAATATTACGATGAAATCTATATCAACTGCTAACGAGCAGCTTCGGGGACTGTCGGTAATTTGCTAACGTCTAACATTTCTGAACATCGTCTCTTCGTGATCGTTATCTAGAGTGAATTGATCTTCAGACAATTCTACTATTAATTCATATTTAAATATCTTACTATTTCCTCTAATAGTCGTAGCCTCTTAATGTTTATTTAGTACTGAAACTTACGGAACTACGTACTTTGTATTTGGCTTTTCATTATTTTATCTTACTCATATTAGAAATGCGAATGTCTGGATGGACGAATGGATCGATGAATGTTTGTTTGAAGATACCTCCAGAATGTATGAACTTATCTCGATGAAATTTGGCATACATACTAAATTATAGTCTGGAAGAACACGTAGGCTACTAATTCCGCGCGGGCGGAGTCGCGGGCGACAGTTAGTAGTACAGTCAGCGTCATATAGATCGTCACAGACAAGATATGCAAATATATAGGTACACCGAAAGTAATCAATTATATCGGTACAACAAAAGTCCTCAAAATAATAGATACCTTCACCCTGCTCAAATACATCGGTACATACACAGCGTCAAATATATGAGTACATGCAAGATGCTCATAAATATCGTAGCAGCCACAGCGTCATAAGTAACGAAGCAGTCAAGGTGCGCAAAAATATCGGTACATTTGACAAAATTGAACTCTATCTCTATATACTTGTGATACAATTTGGAATAAACTACTTCTGTTACATTCATTTGACACTT